AAAGAAAGAAAGAAAGAAAGAAAGAAAGAAAGAAAGAAAGAAAGAAAGAAAATTTGCAGTTCCTAACTTTGGTAGGGTAATCTGAAAAGCCACTGAATTATCCCCAAACCTTGATTCCATGGTGACAATGATGTGGGTCCTCTGTGGTAAATTCGGACTTTCATTACAGAATTTCCACAACCCCCTTCCTTACCTGTGTCATGTATCATCACAAGCCGTCCCACACTCCCCACGTGTGTATTTTAGTACAGATGCTGCAGATGGAGCAGTGTCCCCCGAGGATCTGTATGTCAAAGCCCTAAGCCTAAGGATGGTTGGATCTGGAGCCAGGGCCTCAGGGGTTATTAGATTTAGGTGAAGTCATGAAGGTGGGACCTTCATAACATTACTGAGGTAATGGAAAAAGACCTTACAGGCAAGCTTTCCTTTCTGACCTGTGACAATGAGGAAGTGTTCATCTGTAAACGAGAAAGAGTCCTCACTGGGACCCTTCCATCTCGGCAAGGTGAGCTCAGACTGCAATCCTTTAGAGCTGTGAGAAAACCCACTTCTGCCTTCAAGGCCAATAGCTGCTGTTTTCTTTTTTTTTAATTTTTTATTAATTACACTTTATTCACTTTGTATCCCCCCTGTAGCTCCCTCCCTCCTCCTCTTCCAATCCCTCTCTTCCTCCCCTTCTCCACTCATGCCCCTACCCAGGTCCACTGATAGGGGAGGTCTTCTTTTCCTTCCTTCTGATCCTAGTCTATGAGGTCTCATCAGGAGTGCCTGTATTGTCTTCCTCTGTGACCTGGTAAGGCTGCTCCCCACTCTGGGGGAGGTGATCAAAGAGCAGACCAATCAGTTCATGTCAGAGGCAGTCCCTGTTCCCATTACTATGGAACCCACTTGGACACTGAACTGCCATGGGCTACATCTGTGCAGGGGTTCTAGGTTATCTTCATGCATGGTACTTGGTTGGAGTATCAGTCTCAGGAAAGACCCCTGTGCTCAGATTTTTTGGTTCTTTTCCTCTCTTTGTAGAGCTCCTGTCCTATCCAGGACTTATTATTTCCCCTTCTTTCCTAAGATTCCCTGCACTCTGCCCAAGGGTTGCCCATAAGTCTCAGCATCTGCTTTGATAGTCTGCAGGGCAGAGCCTTTCAGAGGCCCTCTGTGGGAGGCTCATAACTTGTTCCCTGTTTTCTCCTTCTTCTGATGTCCATGCTCTTTGCCTTTCCGGATGGGGATTGAGCATTTTAGCCAGAGTCCTCCCTCTTGAGCAGCATGAAAGACAGAGCAATGCATGGGTGCACACAGCAAGTCTCAAAACGGCCTCAGCCATATGTATGCAGAGAGATTTGAAACCAGGGTGATTCAAAGCAGAGAGGACCTAACATTCACTTTATAAAATGAGTTGTATAGATGCTTTGCAGCCGCAGATTATGGTGGCCTCTAAAATATGGTGTCCCCAATACAGGCACCTTTCCTTGACAGTAGGGTTTACATTCAAATTACTCTCAGCAAATATAACTGAAGTACATGCTCTTACTACACTGTTCATCACTATATCATCCATCTATTACTAGTGTCTTTGGTACTAATGTGGTTTTAAAAAGTGGGAGAAGAATGAGGGTGACTTCTTAATCTTATATAATTGCATGCCAGCTACTGATGCGAAGTTGACATGGTGTCTATACTATGTTAGAGTATGCCATGGGGATTTATTAAATGACCATGAAGGACCTAGTCCTTAGCATAAACTATTTAAGAGTATCTTTAGCTATGTAAAATTTTCTAGGCTAAATAATGAGCATGTAGTTTGAGAACCTATATCATCCTTACTCCTCACTGTCCCAGGAGCTCAAGAATAGTCTCAAACAACTGAACAAAACTGTTTCTCAGAAGAGTGTTTTTATTTTACTATCTCAGATAGGTGGTCTACCCACATAGGTCAGGTGTACCACACAGGGGAGACTCACCGTGTGCTTCCGGAGGAGTTCCTCAGGGTCTCCCTTTTCTTCTAAGCCCTCCTGAGCAACCCGCAGCACTTTCTCCAACTCTGCCCGAGACTCCTCAAATTTCTTCATCAAACGACTGTTGGCTTCCACATGCTTCTTCCAGTCTCCAGCTTTCTTGATCATATTCTTAATGCAAAAAAGAAAATAGAATCACTTCTTGGTACCTTCCCATTCACTCCAGGAGCCCAAAATATACCAAGATCTACAAGGATCAGAGTCTCTTTCAGAGAATGAGGTAGGGCCTACATGAACCCTAGGCACATTATCCTGCATGCTCTAAAAATGACTCCACTCTTGATGACTTTTAATGATACATCGGAAATGTTATATAAGTACTTGTATTATTTAGAAAATAATGACAAAGGACAAAAAGATGTGTATGAGGTGTTTAGTACGGATGTTAGTTTTTCTTTGAATTTCAACTCGCTGTTGATGCAGCCTATAGATAGGCCACCTGTAGGTTTAGAATATACTAAAAGTTATAACAGGAATCTGCTTCCTTCACTTTGATATTGAGACTTCATTTGGTCAGATGGTATCATGACATCACTATGAATTATTAACAGTATTATTTGTTTGGAAAGCACTTGGAGGGAAGATATTTCATTAAAAAGATAATGAACAGTTTTGAATATTAACATTAGAAAATAAGCAATAAAATGTTTGTTTTCCTAGTACCAGAGAGGGAGGCATTGGAGGCATCGAATGTTTTGTCTGTCCCTGCTCTCCATTTTCCTGGACTTACATGTCTAAAGCAGGGAGAGAAACCCACCTGGAATGCGTGATGGACATCTGCTATCTGTCTCTGCAGCTTTGTGTGGTCCCAATGCTTTAACACCTGGCTCAAGGTCATGAGCTTCTGAACACCCTGACTGCCCTTCTCGATGAGGGTCAAGGTTTTCTTACAGCTTTCTTGACAAGTTAATAGTTCCTACAAGGAAAGGAAAGACACAGTGGTTTTAGTTACATGCCAGAATGAAAGAGGAAGGAGGGGAGATAAAAGGGAGCGAGGGCAGGAGGAAGGAAGGGAGGAAGGGGGGAGGGAGGGAGAACAGAAGACAGGAAGGAGGGAGGGAGAACAGAAGACAGGAAGAAAGGAAGGAGAGAGGAGGGAGGGAGACAGAAGAAAGGAAGGAGGGAGGGAGGGAGACAAGCAGTATTATAACTAACAGTATTGTACAACCTTCAGGCTTTTAATGAACAATAAGTAAAATCAATAGTACAGAGAAACAGTTCTTTTTAAAAGAACTTGATTTAAGCAATCATTGAAGTCAGTGCTTTTTATACGAGGCATTTAAATGTCACAGTGAGGGTTTAAATTCCTTTATGTTTCTTGCACACTTACTGACATTAAGAAAATGGCAGAGCATATAAATTGTCTAGTTTCTGCATCCCTCCTGATAGGCAGGCCTACGGCTTTTCAAAGGAACAATTGAAACTAAAGTGCTCATCGGGTTTTATCACACTACGTAAATGTAACACAGTGCGCCCCTCCTTTGGTGAACCCAGTGCAGCAGATTCCGCATCGCTTGTGTGTGCCAGATTTGAATGAATACAGTTTCCAGCCCATCCACCTTCCTAGTGAGACGCAACCAAAGCAGGAAGGAGACGAACAGGCCTGGGGGAACCATTTGCTCTTGCCACATCCTTCCAAATGGGATGCAGTCCTGATGGGCAGAACCCTTCCTTCTGCCTCTCGGGCTGGCATCCTACTACTGTTGGTAGTACCTAGGGCAGACATGGACTAGTCCACCTGGAGATAGAAGGCCACTTCTGTCTTGAATGCATACATCTTGCATGTCTGCATTTTCTGTTTTAAAGAGACCATTCAGATCATTCATTTGGATGGTGTTTTGATCATGTAGACGCAAACATTTAAAGAAGGCCTTCAGTTTTGACAAAATAGAATTAGGGCATGCTCTTTCCTTTTGAACAATTAGAGGTTCAAAAGGAAATTGACAATATTTTATAAAATATTAATATTCATTGTCAATAATATATGACTTTAATGATGAAAAGAACATTTAACCACATTTTATAGTAATTTAGGAAGCTAGGGTACATTACCATTCCTCAAAATAAATAAATTTTCATCCAATGTCATGATGTCATTAGAACAGGGTTTTCGGCTGGGTGCAGTGGCACACATCTGAAATCCCATAACTCAGGGAGGCAGGCAGATCTTTGGGAGTTCAAGGCCAGCCTGGTCTACAAAGTGAGTCCAGGACAGCCAAGGCTACACAGAAAAACCCTGTCTCAGGAAAAAATAAAAGAGAGAGACAAGGAAAAAAGTATAGGATTTTCTAATAATGGTTATTATTATATTCTCCATAATAATGTTATGAATTATTGAATATTAATTACTAGGGATGACCACTGTTGGCTTAACATGATGAAAGTGATGTTAATAAACACTCTGCTATTTGAGACATCAAGCCTAAACTGTGACTATCCTACCCTCATTTCAGACACTCTGCTCTTCCGAGCAGCTGAAGCTGTGTCTTCATGAGTTTATCCCAGTTGGTGTGTGGCGAAAGCTTCCTACAGTTTCGCCCTCATCTGAAGGACAGGCCGGTTCACAGGAAGGCAAGTAAGCAGGTTAGTTAACTACACCTGTCACCAGGGGCTTCTGGGCGCACAGATCCGCTCACTAAATCTAAACATAAAAATTCACACTGTGACTATTTCCATAGTTTTATGGCTAATCAAACAGACTTATTTCCCCACAGCCAAAGAAAAGAGGTCATGAGATAGAATACAGACATGTGGCTGAGTTGGAGTACAATTACCTAATTAATTTATACACTTAAAAAGCATATACAAAAGGAATCAAGGCATAAAAAACATACATTTTTAGAGGAAATTAACCATATTATCAGCTAATGAGGTAACAGGTGAGGCCCAAAGACATATGCAGAGACATAAGCATTAACATGAATTCCTAAAACAACAACAGAAAGATGAAAAAAAAAAAACTTTAACACTGACATAGGTTCTATTCCTCTAAAAGTACAAATTAAAAAACTTTATCCAAACTTTTTTAGAATTTCATTCATGAAATAAGATTCATAGATTCTCTGGAGGAAATAAGGGGTTGGACAATTAAGTGGCCCGTGGCAGAGTAGCAAGAGAGGCCCTTCTCCTGTGGGGGCCTTTTGGTTTTGAGACACAGCAGCAGATTCGGCTTTTCTGAATGTATCATTTATTCTAGAGAGCCATCATGGAGGAGATTCCGCCTCCCCCACTCGGCGTCCAGAACATGGCATCTAAATGTGAGCAGAAAAGGCAACGAGAAATGGAGATGGGTGTAATGGGCTCATGTCGCCAGCTCAAAGATGCTGAGGCAGGGGCTCAAAACACACTCGTTTTCCTAATTGGATTCAACTCAGAACTTTCTCCGGATGAGCATCCAGAGTAAGAAGTCTCCATACGTCCTGTTTGGACAACTTTAGTTCTGAGGACTGCCACCCCTCTGCCTGGCTCCTCCTTGCCTCACCACCCAGGGAACTTCCTAACCCAGAATTGTTGAGCCTGGTTCTGACTAGCTCAGCCTGGTCCAACCTGACTGTTCTCTGGAAACAGTTCAAGTCCTCAGTTCTTCCGCTAAGCACAGAGCAGGGTTCCTTCTCTGGATTAGGCATACACTTAGGTTTGAGTTACTAGTACCCTGTTATTCTAAAAAACAAAAACAAAAACAAAACAAAAGCCTTTTACACTAACTGAATTTCTATTACAGTACAAAATGCTCCAACATTATTAAATGAAGTCTAAAATGAGAATATTTCTGAATGGAATCTTTCTTACCTGGTGTTTTTGTTTGAAAAGAGTGCTAGACTGTGCTTCGTGTTCGAGAACTGCTATAAGCTCGTTGATTTTCCCAAGTGAATCATAGAAGGATGTGATCTGTGTCTCCAGTTCTTCCAAAGGAACCAACAACTTCTGGGCCTCATGCAACAGTGGGGAGTAACATTCTTTGACCTTTGAAAGTGCAAAGAACAAAATAAATCCCATGAGAGACATTAGGTCCTCAAAGCACCAGCATTGTGCCTAGTTCCCGAGACCTTGTGTTTAGTGAGATGGTCAGAGCCACTTAGGCATCTCTGAAGGTGGTTCTCTTTCATTCTGTGCTAGGCTTTGCTGTTAAAAAAATAACCTACAGAAATACTATACCACTGAGACAAATGAAGGGGTGTAGAGTTTTCTCATGAAAATTCATCTGAGTTGTCCATCTGGATGCCACTTCCCCATGTAAATTCTGACAGCCCGAGAGACAGACGGCATCACACCCCCTTTAAACACCACGCTCCTCACTGTCGCTTTGGCAGTAAAATCCGATCTGACACAGCTATTGCCACATTGCCTCAAGGGCATGAGGCATCTCTCTGATGTTCAAGAGCGCTTGTATGTGAACCCTGAGCCTAGACAAACCTGCCAGACACCCATTTTACCAGCTCTAGGCTTTGCCTTTCTCTGTTTGTCCTACTCATCCCAAGGACATGCTTACACCAATTTATTCATGAAGGGTCTCATGCCAGGGGATGTCATCTGTCTTTTTTTTTTTTTTAACGCTTCTGCATCTATATTGCCTTCACGGTGAGGTTCTACGTTCTTGGTACTCTAGAGCTCTGTAAGATCTCTGACTGGATGCCTTTGTGTTGAACTCTAGGATCTTATAATAGTCAAGGAAATCTCCTCCCTCTTTGTTATCTTAAGGTTTGATCCAAAACACTATTACTACTTTCAGAAGATCAAGAAAAGGGAGATACTGTACATGAGCAATAACATCAGCGATGGGCTAACTACCACCAGCAGCATTCCACAAATGATATTTGAAGTAAATATTGCCCTTTGTAACACTGTTGCAGAGTGCACATGCAGAAATGCATTCATATTCTAGAATATACTATTGAAAGATGACCTCATCAGCTGAGAGCTACTGTCTCTCTACTGCAGTGAGACTCTACAGCCGTTCAGTTGAAGAACCAGGAGAGAATCCACTGAAATGCATGGAATCATGTATTCTTGATCCTTCCTGGGCTGCAAAGAAAGGCTGCTATCATGCTGCATCCCAAACAGCAGGAAGAAAGCATGGGTTAAGCCAGCCTATGTCTACACTCTTACCATCCCAACACCCAGAAACAAAGGCAAAAGGATGGACAGAAGTGTGAATCCAGCTTCTCCCCAAGGAACTCCACATGGGGAGACACATAGGGAGATCTTGTCTCTAAGAACAGTAATAGTGTTAACACCAATGTGTGTGTGTGTGTGCGTGTGTGTGTGAGTGAGTAACAGAGAGAGAGAGATCTAGTTGAGATGAGCACAAGATATCAGCTTTCTCAAGTGTGGTTCCAAACCACTATGTCTGGACCAAAATGAGAGGTGCAAGTACAGACCAGCATGCTGTTGGAAAGTTGAAAACAGTAGCTTTTAAAATTGTGCCTTTGTTTTACTGATATGTAAGAGTAAAATTGCTCAGTACCATTAACTTAGTTTCCAACTAGAATGTCAGAATAAAATTAATTGAAAATGATATCTGTAAAGTATGCCAGACTGATAACATTTTCCTCTTTCAGGGCTATTATTCTTCTGTTTTCACTTTTCTTTGAATTTGTTCACCGTTTCCATTACTTCTTCAGGACTGGTTTCACCTATTGGTCTCTATATTCTAGCTCTTTTCTCTGACTTCTGACATTCATTTTTTTCTTTGACTCCTCCTCATACAAAACTGGGATCCATGTGCTTGTTCCTTACTCCTCTTATTTACTAGAAGGTAAAGCCCACACTTGGTGAATTTTGAAAAAAAATGAAGTCTTCTTAAAATTCAGGTTTAGATTTAAAAAAAAAGATTCTAATGGAACATTCAAATATCTTAATAAAATGTCCCTCAACCAAAGGGGACCATGTGAGCGGAAGGAAACATGAGTATACAGACTGGATTTACATTGAGTAAATCTTAATAAAACCTCAGTGAAAAAAAACGTATAGTCTTCTCCTCTTCGTCTTTCTTTTCTACTTCCTCTTTCTCTCTGTCTTCCTACTACTCCTACTCCTCTTCTTCTTTGCCAACATCCGTCTCCATCGCTCCCTCTACACTCTGTTTTATAACACTTAACAGCTCTCTCCTGAAAAACCCAGATTTCTCTAATGAAGCAGAACACTTAGCACATTCCTGAGTTAACAGATGTGTCAACCGGTTTCAGGATCCCACTTTATTTTTCAAATACATATCAAAGTTCTTAAATGAAGACTCTCAGTATTGCTCAAAGGTGGATCAGTCAAGGATGTGACCACGGGTAACCATGGAGATAGAAAGCATCTAAAGGAAGCATGATTGCCCCAAAGCATGTTATAGCATAAAGTATTTTCCCACCTTGAATAGCTGTTCTTTGAGCCTGGACATGTTTGTAAGCATTTCATTGGCTTCTTCCTGGGGACTCTCTTTGGCAATGAGATGTGCTGTCTTGGCAATCATCTTGTACTGAGCGTCAATCACAGGCACCCTCTTCTCGATATCCTGTGTGCCAAGGAGCCATTCAGTTACCGCACAACCCATCTCATTTCTATTGCGGAGTCCCACAGAAGGCAGGACAAGCAGCAATACGCACTGTGTAAAATCTGTTCTCAACACCAACTCCCATAGGAAAGCAATTGCTTTCCTCCTTAACTGTCACATAACACTATACCACATGCACACATTAAAACATCCTTTTAAGAGTTATCCAATACTAACTCCCCTTCTTTCATATGAATCCCTGCACTCTGCCTCAGGTTTGGTTATAAGTCTTAGTATCTGCTTTGACACACTTCTAGGTAGAGTCTTTCAGGGGCCCTCTATGTTAATATGATGTGGAAAGGATGGGAGCTCCACAAGGACCAAATATATCTGTGCACAGGGTCTTTTCTGAGACTGACACTCAACCAAGGACCACGAATGGATTTAACCTAGAACCTCTGCTCGGATGAAGCCCATGGTAGCTCAGTAACCAAATGGTTTCCTGTAGTAGGGGCAACAAGGACTATTTCTAACAGGATTTCAAGTGCAGGCTCTTTGACCTCCCAACCCCCCAAGGGAAGAGCAGTCCTGCTAGGCCGCAGAGGAGGACTTTGCAGCCAGTCCTGAAGATACCTGATAAAACGGGGTCAGATGACAGGGGAGGAGGTCCTCCCCAATCAGTGGACTTGGAAAGGGGCAGGGAGAAGCTGAGGGAGGGAGAAGGGTTTGGGGGGGGGAGAGGAAACGGGATGCAACTGGGATACAGAGTTAATAAAATGTAACTAAAAAGAAAAAAAAAGAAAAAAGTGATCAAATATTCTTAAGTCAACACCAAGATTAGTTGATGTAGTCTTTATACTTCCTAAAATATGAATATTAATGTAGCTAATGTAATATTGAAATACTCATGTAATACATGTAAATGCATCTAAATAACACAGGGGAAATCCTGATTTTAAGAATTAAACTGACATTTACTTTAAAAAAAAAAACTCAACACATTGTCACTGGAGAAAATTTAGAAATTTAGCAGGTGGAAATTTTAATTTCTTATCATCTCACACAGTGGTAACTAAAGGCAAAACTTACTAGAGTTGTTACTCTTTTTATGAATATTATTTTAACATTTTTAAGTTTTTTTTACAAAAATTAAAAGGACAATACATTGATCTATTTTTCTCATTTAAGAAATTATTCAAATTCTCTTGTAATTAAATAATTCCATTACTTCACTGTTGAGAGCACTAGGCTCTTGTGAAGATGTAAATGCCAAATTCATGCAACAAACCCTGTATTGTTTAGAGCATTTATTGGGAAGTCCTGTCTACAGTTTTTTGTTTGTTTGCTTGTTGTTTTCCTAAAATTTTATAATTTATATGTAGAAAAAGAGTTCCACATTGAAAAAGTATTTTGAAGTTACTTCACATGTTCAAAAGATATCTTAAAAAATTCAAGTTTATTTTCTGCAAAAGTCAACAAATATGTAGAATTGTCAAAATGATCTCTAGGACACAAAAACAATTTTCTGACGACCTGAGCAGCCTGGCTAGTTTTTATTTTCATAGTATGCCTTTCATTTTTTGGTCCAGAAATTACCTCCAAGTCTTGGATTAATAACTTGACATTAATAAAAGAGACTTCCAAGGGCTCAGAGAGTTTCCTGTGGGCTTCAGCCGCAAAACCAGACAGGATGGTGGTGACGTCTGTGTATTCTTTCTTCATTCTGTCCATCTCATCAGCTCTTGCATACTGGGAGGAAAGTTTGGCAAGAAGCATTTGAAAATCGTTAAGCTGCAATTCTAAGCCCACAGCCTTTGCTGTGACACAGCCTCATATATGGCAAGAAAAATTCTATTTCCTGACTCTTATTTTAGATAAGTTTGAAATAAATCCAGTTACTTTGACAGAAAAAAAAAAAGGAACAAGCAAGCAGGGAAGAGCCAGGATTTGAAAAGCAAATTCTCTGTCTATGCAGGCTCCATATGTCAACATAATCCTTAACCAAACGCTGTGTTCTGTCAATGCTCTGCCACCATAAACAGAAACGAATGAATAGTTAGCAACAGAACACAAGCAACTCTCAACACTTCTCCATTCTACCTTAATAAGCCCAGTAAAACTGCCCGTCAGCAAATGGCTTCGTCACACTGATGACACGCACAAAGTGAGTGTAGATTTAAAGGACATACTTGTTTGACTTCCATAAACAGCTCTCTCCATCGCCCGTTCAGCAAGAGCAATTGCTGTTTAAGGTCCCGGGAAACTATCTCATCACAAGTCTCAATCAGGAAGTTCCCAGCATCATTCATGGCTGTGTGCTGCTGAATCCAGTGAGGCAAATTTCGAAAAAAATCCTAAGTGAGAAAGGACATGCACTTGTAAGTCATAATCCAGATACTAGTAATGGATATGAAAATAACCAAGCCAAGGAGATCTGTTCAAAAGTATGGAAGGGCTGGAGAGACGGAGCAGAGGTTAAGAGAATGGGCTGCTCTTCCAGAGGTCCTGAGTTCAATTCCCAGCAACCTCATGGAGGCCCACAACCAATCTATGATGAGATCTTGTGCCCTCTTCTTGTTTGCAGGTGTACATACAGACAGAGCACAATAGAGCACTTATATAAAAAAGAAAAAAAAAATAACCATCAGTAAGTAAATTTTAAGAAGAAGAAAAAAAAAGGAAAAGTGTGCAGAAGCTTTAAGATAGATGTCAAATCTCCTCCAAAGCTCAGATTTTAAATAAAATTTCGAAATATGGGCTAGAAAGGCCAGATGTCTGTTTTTGTTGTGTTTTGTTTGTTTGTTTGTTTGTTTATTTGTTTTGAGACAGGCTTTCTCTGTGTAGCCTTGGCTGTCTTGGACTCACTTTGTAGACTAGGCTGTGTTTGAACTCACAGAGATCTCCTGCCCCTGCCTCCCAGAGTGCTGGGCTTACAGGCGTGAGCCACCGTGCCCGGCTTTAGTTTTCTTTTCTCAAGTGTCCACATAGACATGTGTGTACACGGTTCTATGGCTGCACTTGTGTGCACATGTATGTGCCTGTAGAGGCTAGGGGACAGCATGGGACTTCAGGCTTTTGTCTTAGGCATCAGTGGTTCCAGCCTTTACCTGATATTTTTTTAATTTTATTGATTTTTCTTTTTTGAGCCAGAGTCTCTCACTGGCCCGAACTTGCCAAGTATGCTAGGCTGGTTGACCCGTGGGTCACGGGACCCATCGATCTTTGCCTCCGCAGCGCAGGGATCGCAACCACGTGCCACCACGTATGCGCTTTCACACGGATTCTGCGCACTCAGTCAGCTCCTTCTGAAGCACTGCTTGACCAGGCTGTCTACCAAGCCCACCTTTTTGCTTTTAACAGTTGGGCTCCACTCTGCTGCCCAGGCCAGTCCCAAACCTGTAAGCCCACGTAGTCCTCCACTCTGAGCCAGGCAAGCATCTGGGACTCCAGGCACATGCAAATGCACCTGGCTTTTTGTGTTATCACAGAAGAGGGCGCAGTTTGGTGGAAACAAAATAGAGGCCACTTTCTTACTCTCATATCTTACACATGAAGCAGCAATCGATTATTCAAATGCTTGCTGTTCAGACCAGTAAGAATGAGGGCAAGCGGTCTGCAATTTTAATATATATGCAAACCTGTACATGTACACACACATATGTAGTACATTCAGATAGCAAAGGAAACATTCTTAGGTCAGACACTGAAGTCAAAGACATTGAACACAGCAGCACCCTTTCTTGTTTATGTACGAAGATGCACTTGGCAGTGGAACGCTTCCGTCTTATTGCAGAATGGGCGTGTATGCTCACACTAGCATACACGGTGCGAAACTTACTCAGACTTCATTCCGTAAGCTCCGGGGGGGGAGGCTTCCCCACACAAAGAGCCGAGAACACTCCTTTCGGGCTGCTACATTTCTTTATCAACCTAACACATATGACCTGTGCCAGGGCATTATTCATCTGATTAGAAAAAGCCAAAGTCTGCCTGAGTCCATGCCTATTGCCTTCTTTAGATACACGATGGAGATTAATATCGATTAATCCGTGTCAATGAAGAAACAAGAGAACAACATTGAAATGTTGCATCTGTTGGTGCAAAGAGCAATGGACAAACCAATTCCAAATAACTGATTAGTAATAAAAGGTGTAAATGTGTGTTCCAATATATGTATCGTACCTCCTTATGGGAACTTGACATTATAATGTCTTTTATACCTACAATGAGTTTCCACGTGAAAATAACAGCTTTACATAAAAATTATATACATTGTACCTACAAACAAATTTGTATATATTTGTACATACACACACATACATGTATGTACTCACATACATGCGGCTTCCCTTTTTATTTGATATTTCCATGTAAGGGATGTCGGAGTAAGACAGTCACCGCCATACTGCCATGCACACACTCATACATGTTCAAACATTGTTAAAAGAGAAAGACCTCACTCCCGTGCAGAATGAAACTCTTGATAGAGTGGTTATAAAACCCAAGAGAGAATGTAAAAACAGCAAGGGGGCGTGGCCTAGCTACGGGTATGTGCTGGTCCTGTCACACAGATTCAGTCCCGTGTGTGTGTGTGTGTGTGTGTGTGTGTGTGTGTGTGTGTGTGTAGGCTGGGAATAGGAAATCTAGGCAGGCCCATCTATACAGACCTCGGTGTGGATGTAGCAACCTCTGCCGCCCGTTGGACCTGGCCACCCCTTTCCAAATAGTTGATTAATCCTGCTTGCTGTCCTGCGGAATACGGAAGTTGAATGGACGGGCCACAGCAGGACCTGTTTCGCAGAGCTCTCCCAGACGGTGCTCACACACCTAATCCCATCCAACTTGCCCAGGGGCCAACCTCTTCGGTGAGGGCTCTAGAGTGCTGCCTGCAAACATCTGACACCCGTAGTGAGCTACGCCGTTAGACTCTCTCCTTCATGCACCTGCAGCATTAATGAGTGCTCACAGGAGCGCTCTTACCTTCTTGGCGTTTTCTGATTGACTTAGCATTTTCTCGGCATCTTCCAGCCAGGCTTGAAGGCTAGCCACAGTATCACCATAGCGATCCCAGTTGGAGATCACCTCCTCCAGCATGCTCCTCACACTCCTCACTTCCACAGAGAGATTCCTCCACTGGGCAGTGGTTTCACTCATGAATTTCATCACATTCTCAGCTTCTTCCACTGAATCAGAAACAGCCAGTTAGAGGCTCCATTCTGTACTGAAAACCCTCTTTATAGTTTCCCATGTTCTTATGCACCGGCAGCAAGGGCATCTATCAGAAATACAAGACTCCATTCCCAACAATTACGGCAGACATTTACAAGCTGTAAGCAAACATATCTCCCAAAGTTTAGCTCCACAGTAGCTTAATCTCTCATATCTATATTCAACTCATTCCATATATATATATATATATTGCCTTTAATCCTCTCGGAGTTGAAACTAGGCTGAAAAATTGCAACCTAGAAAAACAAATGCTGATTTTGTTCTATCTTAGATGATTACACACAGAAAGAATATCATTTCTCAAGACAGACACCTCACAGAATCCCACTGTCCTTTCCAAGGGAAAAGCATCGAGCCATAGATTCTACACAGGAAAAAAAAAGGTCTGACCCCATAGAAACCCATTGATCTTAAAGTCTACTTAAGCCAGCCACAAGTTATGATTCTTGTGTGGACATTACCTGTTCAGGATGCTAACTATAACATTTTCATAAATGAATATTTTTAAAAAACTTGGACCATATTCACTCCAATTACTCTCCCCCCTCCCCCTTCTACCGCAGCGTTCTCAGCAAATCCCGCAGTGTGCTTTACCTGAGCAAACCCCGCAGTGTGCTTTACCTGAGCCATCTGCTTTGACGTACATCTCGGCTGTCTGTTTCAGTATCTGGTACGTCACTTCATATTGCTCAAAGAATTTGCTGTTTTCTATAAAAGACTAGAAAAGGGTGCATACTCGGTGAGTAGACAGCAAATATTAGGCTTGCACACAAATGACAAGGTTTACTTTTCTTCATAAGCTTATGGCATTCTATCCAATTCTGCCAACCTCATTCTATTGGAAAATACTAAATTAATCCCACTGTCATGGAGCACTCAGGTTATATGTAGCCATATACCATGCCTACAAGACCATATACCATGCCTACAAGACCATATATCATGCCTACATTTTCAAGACCAACTCAGCACCAGATTGAGAACACATTCTATTTCTTTACCATGCAAACATTTGTTTTTCCCAAAGAACAGAATTTCCTCTAGAGGATCTGGGCCTAACATTTAGAAAGTGCTAAATTTGGGGTAACATTTTAATGTCCCACTGTGTTGGAGCTGTCGAAGTCTGTTGTTCTTTGAACATTAGCCCTGGGGGATGACTGACTGCTTTGAGGAACTTCCAGTTAAAAATAAACCACAGTGAAAACACTTTCATTAAAAATAAAAAGCAGAAAGTTTAAAAATAATTGCATGTGCTGTCCATATTATTGATGGTTTCATGTTCCAATTACCTAGCACAAAAAGTACAGATTAAAATAAAGCAAGATGTAAATCTCCACAGAATATACATACATAATAAAATTAGTGTTTGCACACAAAGACAATAGAATTGAGGACTCAAAAAAAACCTTAGGTAAATTTTTTTTGTTAATGCTCAACTCCCTTCTGATCAAAAGATTGTTCTTATTACTCAGGTAGAAAATTAATACAATTAAAACCAGCAATGTGTCTCCTGAACCTCTTTAAATTCTCCTACTAGCAGAACGAATCTTTAAGAGTTTAATCAGTTAAGGTAGTCGAGCGGGATGATCGCAGTGATAAAATCCAAAGTTACGCGTTTCGCACCCGAGGCTTGCACGGTGTGCTGGCTCTCCTGTACCATACCCTAGTGATGCTTCCTGGACAGGCAAAAGCGGCTCATAAAGCAGTTACAAAGACATTCCTAGATTTTTATCGCTGTTTACCTTGTTTCACTATAAAACTCTAAAAGATTATATATTAACTGCAGTGAAGATTATTTTATATCTACAGAACACTTGTAAATTATTCTCTAGAAAGAAAATGAATGCAGAAACCTATGACTTCCATGGTGTGAGAGTCTTCTGTGACTGATATTTTATTGAATGACCTTAATAGGGTTTACTGTGTTTGGCTGACAATAGAGTATGACAATAGTACTTTAGAAAATTCCTTATTTAGTCATAAGTCCCATTTTCTCTCACAAATTAGGGAAAGAATAATTTACTAGAACTTAAACTGTGAAGGATTTTAGCCAAACAAGAAAGTCATTTTTGTTTTAAAAAATGGAGTATTATATTTAACACTCTAAATGTTGTTAAAGCAATTGAAAAAACAACTGCATTTGACAAAGCTTTTTTTAAAAAAAAAAAATTGTTTCTGTAGAGTCAATACAAGTGGCAAGATGGTAAGGAGAAAAACGCCCGCTATAAGAAGCAAGAAAACACAGTGCTGTCTGTGCTGTCCAGGTAGATGTAAAAAAAAAAAAAAAATCATTTGCCTGATTAGTTTGCAAATTAACTACAAATGAAAAAATTGCTTATTTTTAGGTTTGTTTTTGGCCTAAAAATAGATGGGAAGATAAGATTATAATCAAATAATTCATTATGTTCGAGTTTTCCTATTATAACAATTAGACAATTAATTTTTAAAATTAAAAAAAATCCCATTTGTTGTTACAAACCTTTACTGTCCCATGTAATTTGAGCTCTTTTTTGCTAATTTTGGAGAAGCCATTGAACAATGAAGTTTGTCTGGGATAGCCACTTCCATGGGAGGTTTGCTAAGTTTCCCTTTTACTGTGCTAGACATGTCTCGCAGGAAAATGCACATTTTAAATTAAAATGACATGTTTATTTACTTTATTAAAATAGCTAAAATTGGGTTACTGAAGCAAATGGGCTATTAGAGTAGATGATAAGACAAGAAAAGTTATAGTACCACTTATAAACTTTCCTAATATTTTTAAACCAAAATATTAGAAGTAAGAACGTTTCTGTCTTCAAAGTATAGACATAATAAATTAAAACTCATTAATTTCACTGAGAGAGCTAAAGCAGATAATTACAAATCCTTTAAATTTTTATCATGTTGTCTATTTACATTAGAATTTATTGTGAATTGTAAGATTCATGTTATGTTGAACTTGAAATTTCTACAATTCCAAAAGCTTTTCTTTCATATGAAGGATAGAAATGTCATATTACTGTTTACATAGCAAGAATGGACATTGCGTACCAACTAGCAAGATCACTGTAAACAATTCTGAAGGGCTGAATCAGTGCCTAACGCGAGCGATCACTGATCAACAGCCTCTGGTCGAACATCTAATTATTTAAAAACACTTTCAGATTTCTTTATTTGTGGATGTGCTTTGGATATCAGCATTTATGTGCCATGGCATTTATGTAAAAGCCGGAGGACATTTCGGGGGCCTCGTTCCTCCCATCCACCATGTGGGTCTCTGCTTGTCCTCAGACTAATAAGGCTTAGCGTCAAGAGTTTACCTGCTGAGCCATCTCAGTGACCCACATATGGTCTAATTGTTTTCCTAACAATCATAAAGGCATTTTTCAAGGACTTAATGTACTCATTGGCTCACAGCCTAGCTAGGAAGCCTATTCTGTGACTCTCCAACCCCTAAAACATGTATGAGTTTTTTCTTTTGAATGTAATTAATGTCAAATTGAGAACTGATACCAAGGAAGATGATTTTGGACTCTTCATAGCCTCAGTATTATTTTGTTTATTAGAAAACAGAGTAACGCCCCATGTTCATATTTTTAAATGAGGAAGAAGAATAACCGACTTCATAATTTTATTGAAAAATTTCATACTTTTTGAAATGGTCTGTTCTAAAAAGAACTATTTTTCTCTAAAGCACTTGAGGGGTCTGACACTGAATGAAGGCAGTACACAAAGTCTGTCCTTTAGAAGAACCTCTATTATTCTGCTACTACCATCATCATGGTAAAATGCGAAAACTTCAGAAAAGATTCATCATGGAAACTTTAGTCATTCACAAAGCTAAATGAGCGGTGAGTTGAATACACTTCCCTGTGACAATGCTTCACACACTTTCTGTCATGTTCCCGAGCCCACCAACGAATGGCAGTGGTAATCAAACTACCACAACGCAAAAGAGCAAAATATTATTACATTTCAAACATATTAAAAAGAACTAATATTTATGAGAACATTCATTAATTCACTACAATTTAATAAACTTCAATATCTTGATCTTCTAAGTTATTTTTTTCACAATTATGTATTTAGAGAGTAATATTGTTGCATGCCTGCAAGGCCGTTTGATTTGGAAATATCTAGACTCAAATTCTGACTCCATTTCTTGTCACTTGTGTCACCTGGAGCTCGGGGTTGGGGCATTTAAACTCCAGAGGCAGCTGCATAGCGTTTCATCAGTGTTTAATGCGCCGTGAAAACTCTGTAGAGCCTTTGTTGAGGTGAAAAGGGAGGCCCTTACAGGACCACAGTTACCGAAGTTATTCATCCAATGACCCTAAAGCCACTTATGGAAACTTTTTCTAGGACCCCTTCACCAGCTCTCAAGTGCACGAGCACTGAAACCTGGGAATATAGGGTGACTGTCCACTCTACACAGACAGGAAAGTTGCAGAGCAGTTTGAAATTAGCACCTCAGTGAACTTTATGGAGTAGGAGGAAGGGCTGACATTAACATCAACTCTCTATTTATATATCTTTTGAGAAGTTTGAAGAGAATTATTAATATCATTGTTTTGGAACATCGACCTGGTAAAGCAGTCCTATTAGGTACTGGAATCCGATTGGCTGTTCTTAAATAGCTAGAACAAAGGATGGAGCCTGTGTAATTAACTCCACGCTCAGAGAGCATCATTTGCTATGACTAAAACTGAAGGTATAAAGCCATTCCTCCATTTAATATTTATGAGACTAAAGCAATTACTAGAATTTTAAAAATGGATTTCTTTTCCTTACCAAAATAGCCACAAATGAATAAAGGAACACATGTAACAGAGTTCACAGCTTTTGAAAAAAAATGTTTCCTAGGGCAGTTTAGTGAATCTAGAGAGAAGATGTATTATCCACTAGGTAAAATGTTTTGTTCCAAACTCATGGAGCTAACATGTCAGCTAAAAAACAAAATTAAAATGTAATAAAGCTGACTATGATTCCAAGGCACTTATAGAAAGACATACTCTGTAAGTCACTGTGACTGGTCTGGTTGCAGTAAGCCTGTATGTTACAAGTTTAGTTTTATAGTTTTGAACCTGTGTTTAAACATAAATGTCAAAAGACATGACAGAGATGCCCCATTAATGAATATTTTCCATCAAATGTTGCAAATAATTTGTGGAAGGCATGGTTAGGTTACTAAGAGAAAACAGATTATCTCGGAACATGGGATAATATTTTTAAATGATGTTGGAACGGAGGTTATTCACAGGAGACTCATGCAGAAGATCTGACATGGTCACAGTGCCCCTGTGGACAACTAAAAACACTCCCGTTTCCTCACGCCGGGAGCTTAGAGGACCAGGATAGTGTCTGAGCACAGTAGTTCAGTTTTAAAGGACTAATGCAGCCACAACTAAAGGTGTGTGAATACACACACACACACACACACACACACACACACAGGCACACATAAAACAACAACAAACAAAAACACGTTTGTAAGTGACAAAGCCCACCACTAGGGTCCGATACGAATCATCTTGGGAACCCTCCCGATGTCAGGATTTGCAGAACAAATTCCAAACAATCCGGGTTGATACTCCAGCTGCTAGTGAAAAGCTCCACACCTCTGAGCCAAGCCACTTCCCAAAGCGGTGTTCTCACACTTAAATTCAGGGTGGACCTCTGTCAGAGCGCTAGAGACTCACAATATAGCTCTGCAGCAGCAGCTCCACGGACTCTCGCCTCCCGTACTTGATGATCCAAGACTTCAGCTTTGACTCAGCGAGGACCAGCAGGGACAGCAGACGGTACTTCAGCTCCAGAAACTCCATTTTCATCAAGTGCAGCTCGGATGTAGAGGACACAAAATGAAACCTCGGAACAGACAGGGAGAATTCGCAGGATGTAACTAATAGTAACAGAAGAGGCTGCCCGAACCTGTTACACAGAAGCCTTCTAAACTCCCTGCTCCCGGTCAGGGGATCCCGTTCCTTTCTTAGCTCAGGGTTTCAAGGAAAAAAAACCAGGATCGATTGAAGCCTTTGATTTAGTTCTCTTTCCTGGTAACACATCTCTCATCTGTTTCTTTCATAAGCTGTTTTTGCAATGTTACATAATGTTCCTTACAGTATTGAATAAAAATACAGCCTATGATGAAGAACGCGTTTCTGAGATCTGCAGGCTGTGGGAACATTCTAGCTCACTCTCTCCAGTTAATAATATATTAGAATGTTGGCACTCTTAGCATCTGTGTGGGAACCCACTTTGCATTTACCAAATGCAAGCATCCCTATTAAAACCGTAACAGTTCATTTTGGAAAAGAAAAAGAATGTGAAAAAAAACACAAAGCATCCATCTAACCTATTTTTAAAGAGCCTTCATATAAAAATCCAGCCTTCTCTTACCTCTCAGCCATGTCCTCTAGCTGATCAGGAGGCATCGGGATCCCATTGACAGACCTGGTCCGGTAGATTTCATGGAATGCTCTTTTGTGGGCATCTGTATTTTGAAGCAGATCCTAATACGCAATTTAAAAAACTTAAATCAGGAAACATGTTCCCAAGATGCTGAGAAGCATAATTTTCAGGCTTACTGATGAGTCAATGTAGTCAACAATTTGTCCCTGCCACCTTCACACGCAGCCAGCGCCTGTCACAGGCGTTACCTGGGCCGGCAGTCCCTGCCGGTGGAGAGGCTCTGCTGGAGCTGTGTCTAATAGTTACAGCATTTTAAACACACAGGGCACGTGCCCAGCGCTGCACTCAGACCTTTTGACGCTGTAAGACTCAAGGACTGTGTAATCACTGCCAGGAACAGCCATCTCTGTGTTGCCTGGGGTTTGGAGATGCCAGTGTTTGTTGTTGTTGTTGTTGTTGTTTTTGTTTTGTTTTCTGAAAACTGAACATAACAAACTTAACCCCTTTATGGTGACAGAGATTAGCTTCCCTACTATTGTTTTAAAATTGAATGTATCAGGGGTACTTTAAATATTATTTGCCAATTATAATATACTTTGAAAACATAGTTTGGTCAGAAAATTTCCTAAAAGCACAGAAAGCAACCCCAGCTAACAGAGAAAAAATCAAATGTGATGATTATTTTCTATAGTCTATACAAAATATACTATTTGTATATTATTTGTATATACTATTGTATTTTTTTCCAGCCACACACTCATTTACAGGAAGAATACATCTTTGCCATCAGCCCAAGCTCATTTCTTACACACCGTAAAAGGAGAGAGTTAGGTGAATGAAGCTTATCTGCTTTCTTATAGAAGAATAAAAAATAGGTGTAAGTCATTGTGACAATAAGATCTACTAGCCCACCAAGGTGATCAAGTTAATATTATTCCACTTTACTATTATTCACTGGCACAGTAGAGAACGAAGCAGAAAGACAAAAGATACATATGTACATGGGTAGACAAAGCATTTAGAATATGAATTAACCTTTTAAAACTCTTGGCTAGCAGGATAGCACAGCAGTTAAGGACACTTGCCATAAACCCTGACATTTGAATTTGCTCCCCAAAACTCACATGGTAGAAGGAAAGGACCAACTGCCATATGCTATCACATATGCACTAAAACATACTTGCACATAAATAAATACATAAATAATTGATAGATGATGGATAGATATATCGATGGATGATAGATAGCTAAATGATAGATGATAGATAGCTAGATGATAGATAAATAGATAGATGACAGATGATAGATAGATGATGGATAGATGATGGATAGATAGATGATAGATAAATTATAAATGATAGACAGATGATAGATAGATAGATGATAGAAGACAGATGATAGATAGATGATAGATAGATGATGGATAGATAGATGATAGATAAATTACAAATGATAGACAGATGATAGATAGATGATAGAAAGATAGATGATAGATAGATAACAGATGATGGATAGATGATAGATAGAGGATAGAAGATAGACAGATGATAGATAGATAGATGATAGAAGATAGACAGATGATAGATGATAGACGATAGAAGATAGACAGATGATAGAAGATAGACAGATGATAGATAGATAGAGGATAGAAGATAGACAGATGATGGATAGATGATAGATGATAGATAGAGGATAGAAGATAGACAGAGTAACACAAGGCTTTATGGCTTACCGATGCTTGAGTACATAAAGAAGCATGTTAATTTTGTCACAAACCTTCATCTAATTTATTTCTGTCCTAATATATTTTTCGACATTCACATTTTGAAGTCTTTAGGTGCATAAGTAAATACACACACACACATTCATAAGTCATTCACACCAGATGGAGGGATCTTTGACCACACAAGGAAAGAGGAGAGAGAGCTGTTCTGAGAATCGCTGCCAGCGGTGAGCTCTGTGGTCTCTCTCCCAACTTTTCAGCCAAAACACCTCCATAGCATACGGTCTTGGCTGAACTGCCTTCTGGTGACTTCAGAGGAATTTGTGCCTACACAGCTACCTCTCATTTCTTACACCTGTCAGCTTTAATATCCACTGTCCTGGGGAAATTCTTTACCTCTCACAGGTGTGTGAAGGAGGTTCTAAAGCTATCGTACACTGCTTGTCCCTAGGAAGTGCCCAATCACTATAAAACAGCTAGATACGAAACAAAGCATAAAACTTTAATTTTTAAAAACTTTAATTTTTAAAAAACTGGGCTTACAGGCAATACAACTGTTTAGGTCACCCTGTTTTTACCAAAACATGTTCCAAAAATAGATCACAGACTATAAACAAGAACATAACAACATTAAAAAGCCAGACCATCCAGGGCAGGCATTAATCCAGCAGTTTGGGATACTTGGGCTTTGGAATGTGAGCAAGATGAAGACACTGCAAATGGATCTCCTTGATGAAGTCAGAATCCCTTAAGGCGGGCTAAGAACAGCTTGTAGCAAATACACTAGTGGGGGAGTAAAGGCCACTATCTAACATAAGAGGTTCGCTGTCAGGAGTGGCAGCCAGTGAAACATGGAGCCAGGGTAACGCCAGCCATCAGTAATGAACACTAGTGTACATGTAAGAACGAGTGTGACAAGGGATGGTTTCCTAGCGTGATGGAGATGGTTAAAGCACTGATCTCCAATGATTTTAGATATCTGTGTCTGAGCTTCAGGGATGACCACAGCATAGACCTATAATTTCAACCCAGTAGGGGAAAAGCTATAGAGGAAGTCCAGCAAGCTATGCTTGGAATGATGGTGGCTACCTTCTATGCCAGGACCTGGGGTTGCTGTGAGTTTGAACATGAGCTGCAGAGTGAGACTTTGTCTCAAGAAACCTAAAAGGATGGATGAGAGGAAGGGGGAGGAGAGAGGGAGAGTGGAGGGAGAGAAAGAGGGAAGGAAATGCTCCAAAGCAAAAACCAGACCAAAACTCCTGTCAATTTATAAATACCAAAAAAAAAAAAAAGTAGAAAAGGGGGCAAAAAAAATAGTCAAATGATTAAAAATAATCCTCCAGGACAAAACTTGCTACGAATAAATATAAACGCATATGGACATGAGCCTGAGATTGTCAGAGCAGAGGAACAAACAAAACCAGTGAGAGAGAAGACAGCCTATTTGCACATGGATGGAGAAAAAAATGAAAAAGGGCAGATTTGTATGAGAGGCATCTAAGTATTAGGGAAATAGAAAGGCTGGAATTCCTAGGCAGTAAACTATATCGGCGACACCAACTGAAAATTTGCACAAGGACCGTTAGTTGTCACAATAAATAACGATGATCAGAGTTCCACATTACTATAAGACACATTAATCCGGAGACTGAATGTACATAGTAAACTCCAAAATATATACAAACTGGTAGGACAGCATAGGAACGACAAACCTACACTGCTGTGGGAATCACCAACACACCCCCTTCGGCTACCAAGATGGAGCACGGGAAGAAGCTACATGGTGGAGTAAGGGAGGCCTAATGAAGGCTCAAAGAAGATGAGAAAGGCAAACAGGGATATCACTGGGCAGGGAAAGTTCCTTAGGGATAGCTGGGCAAAGACCTCACGCTGGAGTATTCTTTCCTCTTTGAGGTCATCATTAACGTAAGTTTTCACTGACCTCTTATTTAAAATTAAAACATCAGCATTTCCCTGGTTTTTTTTTTTTTTTTTTTTTTTTTGTCCCCAGATTTTCATTTACTTATTTACTGCCTTCACTATTTTTCTCTTCATCCTCTCGGTACAGATCATATGATGAGTGTCAGGGAACTGTGTCTATATTCATGCAAATGGGCTGATCACAAATGCTCTGAACACTACTTGTTACTATGCAGGAGCTCAATAAAAGTCTACTGAAAACCAAGAAAGACCGGAGAGAGATGGCTAGGAGTATAGGAAGGAGAACAGGAAACCAAACAAAAAAGAGTGTCATGGTCACGGGAGCACTTGGTGAAAGGTGTGTAACGGGGAGGCTAACAACTGGCCAACTTCGTTCAGCCCAGCCTGGGTCACATGGCAGTGACGGTTCATTACTGTGAAATCAAAAGAAGAAACAGAAAATTCTTAACCGCTTGTCTGGATAAGCAGAAGGAGGGCTTTTGGACAGTACCTGGGAAGAAAAGCAGGGTAAAAAGAAAGACTTTGAAAATATGTGCGTGTGCGTGCATATGTGAATGTGTGTGTGTGTGTGTGTGTGTGTGTGTGTGTGTGTGTGTGTGTGTGT